CTCGACAGTCGTTCCCCGTCTTCACTGTTCGTTAACCCGGACTAAGGAGCAGAAAAAATAAGCTAATTCTGCTGATAATACGGCTAACATTAGCAAACAAACTTAAACCTACGCCGTACGCCGCCTGTCACGTCAGCACGTCGGACGCGTCACATGACAAGTCAGAAGCTAAAAACTCTTCTTCTGAATTTTGATACCGGATTCACCATAAATTGTATGTAAAATTAATTCTATGTCACAAACATTTTCCAGCAAGTCATTAAAGCCTTTGAAATTGTCCTTTTAAGAAAGAATTTGAAAATAACGTAACAATACACGATTCAGATCAGATCAAGAATCAGAGCTTGAATAATAAAATCACTTCAGTTCAGGTGTAGCATTTCCCATTTGGCTTTGCTCACAGTTTTCTTTAAAAAGAAATGAGACGTTGCACAATGTCTCCCAGTATACCTTTGTAGTAAAATGTGTAGTATTCTTACTATATGGATTCTAGTATATTTTAATACCTGATCCTATGTATATAACTCACCAAAATATAAATAGCCTGTCACTAGCACCTATCTGTGGAGCAACAGTGATATCTGTGAGGTGAGATGTCTGCACAGAAAGGATTATGTACCCAATCACAGCCTGCTGTGACGCTGCTGTACCACCACTTCAGAGAAGTTTGTTTCCTCAGGCTGTGAGATGAGTCATCCTCCACACTTCACCGTGAGAAAAAGCTTTATTGTTGTGCTTTATATAAATTAATTAATTAATTTATTTGTTTTGTTGGGGAGATTTAAATCTCAAAATCTTGAATCTAATTTACCAAAAAAAGCATAATATATAGTAACATATGCAATACATTACATAAGCAGCACAGCTAATGAAAAATGAATGCAGAGCACCCATATTTATTCTGAAATATCCAGTTATGAAAATGCCACAGCAGCATTTTCCCACTGCAGACGACCACAAAGCACATGAGTAAATAAATAATAAATAAATGAGCAACATATGTAACATGTATTCTCTTATGACTGGAACTGTACCTCCTGACATGCAACCTCCTGAATAAGGGATCAAACCATGATGGGATGGACATATTTTAGCTTCACTGGGAAGGAGTTTTCGTGTTGTTCACCTTCATACATGTGCTATAATTATATGTGAATATTAACTGAACCAGCAGTTGTTCAGTACATTTGCTGAAAAATGTCAGAAACTGTTTAAATTGTTACACATTCATTTTCTTTTGATAGAAGACGAATCAGTAAATCTGCTAGTTTGCAAAGAGTTTTTATAGTTCTTCCTGCATGCTTGGTAGGAGCTGGTGAAGAGAGTTGCATTAAGTAAACGATGATCTTAATGTCATCATTAGCAGGGATGGGCAAGATTTTCAGATATTTGTAAAGACTTTCATAGGAAACCCTGAATGTTTGTTTTTTATCTTAAAGTACTGTATGTAATTTCTCTTTGTTTCCAGGATGTAATGTACCAGAAGGTGGCAGTAATGCACACAGAAACAACATGTGGGCAATATTTCAAAAATAAAAACAGAAGGTGCAATAAACTAAAGCATGTGTGACACAGTGAGGTTAGATTTTACTGTACGAACAGGAGAAACATGCAGACAAGTACAGAGCCAACTGCTGCTGTTACAAAGTCCATCAGGTGAGCATGTCACAGTCTAACACAACAATGTGCAAACATGTGAACACATTAAAGAAGCCGTTTAGCTGAAGAGTGAAAATTGAATTATTCTGCACAGTTCTCATGTAAAGTGGATCTCATTTCCAGCTCCATGACTCTGCTTAGCTCAGAATAGCACAAAAGCATTCATTTATCTCATTCATCTCAAATAGGAACAGGTCTACTCTAGTACACCTGTTTACTGTGATTACACAGTATTATCCAGGAACACAGGACGTATTTCTTTGCACCCAAAGAATGTGACTATGAGCTTCTGATTACTAGAATACTGTCCATTTTTGCCTTGTTATAGTCATGATACACCTTAATAACAGATCTCCCTGGCAACACAAAACTTTTGTTATTTATTCTATGAGAAGAATAAAGAAGCTACTCATCTAAAGTCAAACTAGTCAGAGGGCAGAGCGAGTCACGAAGAGAAATAATTGGAATCCTTGGGCGCCAAAAAAAGCAGTGCGGCAAGCGTTGTGCTAAACAGTAGATGCTGCAATTAAGACAAAACAGAAATCATTTCTGCTGAAGCCAGTTCATTCAAGTATTTGGAAAGAATTTAAGTGCAGATGATGGAAAAAGTCTTTAGCTGCCCGAGTCTGAAAATAAATGATCACATCTGCAAAGACTTTGACAGACTGAGCCAAAGAGTCCAGCCAGCTAACAATTTCCACAAACTTAGGTCAGACCAGCCTATAACAAAACCAACACTTCATTTTATTTCATTAAGAATCTTTAAATGTGAACTTTTAACTTATTCTTATGAAGTGTGGATGTGAGCTTGATTTACTTTAGCAGACGTTTAGATTCTGGGTCTTCTATCTGAATCAGGACAATAGAAACAAGTAAAATCCAGGGCAACAATACAGCTTCTGTGAGTTATTTATAATCCAGATTCAGGAGGTTTGCATAGAAAAGATTTAATAACTTAAAAAAAAGAAGAAGAAGAAAAGAAGAAAATAATTGTTCCCAGAAATCTTGAAACAAAGAAGTAAAAAGATCTTTTCACAATGTGCTGCTGCACAACTACAACATGATTTTTTAAAAAAGGAAATCAGTCTCTTTGACAGACGTAACAATCCTGTTGAAATCTGTCAGGATGATGAGGAAAAACCCTCTTTCCCTCCTTTTCTTCCTCACCAAGGCTCCTCTTCTTCCTCTGCTGCTATCTAAAGAACTGAATAAACAGCAAAGAAACAGTCTCATTTGTCATTTTACCGGATTGTGATTTCCTGCTTCTTTTTTTAATTGGTCAAGTAAAATCCAACCATAATTATTACGTTAATAAGAAGCATAGACACAGAATATATTTATTATGGCGTTTATCATCACACAAACTAAATCTTGTTACTTAGTTATTTAAAGTAACTGAGTGTTTGTTTGCTTCCTTTTCATGTTCATCTCCTTTAATAGTTAAAAAAAACTGATTGAATAAGTTCAACTACAGGACGTATTTAATCCCCGACCTCCCCTCAAGCTAACTTTTTACTCTCCAGCTCAGTTGTAGAAACTGTTTGAACAGAACACAAATATCTGATTATG